GGAGCTATTCGGGGTGCAAGACCCTAAATGATATGATTATGAGGGCCCGGGAGCGGGAAATTGAATTATAGCTTCGAATGAAGCGTAAGCCGGAGAAGGTGCAGACAATAGTGGGTCAGACTAAGAAGCCCAAGACTTTTGATAAAAACACCAAAGGCCAGCAGGGTTAGAGCCGTTAAGGAAAGTGCAGCAAGACGCACGGTGGTGCATGTCGAGCAGTGGGTTCAGGATGTTTCTGATGTGGTCAGACTGGTCATATGATTAGGGACTGCCCCAGGGGTGCACTGATTTGATTTCATTGCAATCAGACCGGCCATAAAAAGGCTGATTGTCCGAGATTGTCTGGAAGAGAGGTGGTGGCGCCTGCAGCAACCACTTTGAGGATTACTGATGGCCACCAGGGCAAGGCAGAGACACCTGTGGTGAAGAGCTGGGCATTTAAGTTGTCTACCGATGAGGCTCGAGCAACGCCGTATGTGGTTATCGGTACGTGATTTTATGATATCTTTTATTACTTTCTTTATTTATGTTTATGTTATATCTGATCTTGTATATGGACTTTCTTAGTCAATGGTATGAATGCTCATGTTATGTTTGATTCGGGTGCTACCCGGTCCTTTGTATCTCTTGCACTTAGCAAGGAGTTTAGTGATGCTCCAGGGACTCTGGATTATCTGTTGGAGGTAGAGATTGCTGATGATCATTCGATGAGTACTTCTTCATCGTGGGTGTGTCCCGGACCTGTTATATGAGATATATTCTATTGACTTGGTACCGATTCCTCTGCGAGGGTTGAAGGTTATCATAGGGATGGGTTGGTTGGGTCCTAATAGGGCCATGATTGACTGTGAGCACCAGTTAGTGAGAGTTTGAACCCCAAGTGGGGGAAAGTGGTTATTCCTGGTGAGGGAGCTTCGCATGGGCCAACTCTCTATTCAGATGCGAGCACTAAGAGATTTCTTCAGTAGGGTTGTTCTAGGTTTTTGGCTTACATGGCAGATACTCGGGTTGGGGGCATGACGACTTTAAGTGAGGTGCCTGTTGTTCGGGATGTCCCTGATGTGTTTCCTAAGTATTTTCCAGGAGTGCCTACTGAGAGGCATGTTGAGTTCCAGATTGATTTATTTCCTAGTGCGGCCCTCATAGCCAAGGCACCGTATCGTTTGGCACCACCGGAGATGCAGGATTTGTCTACGCTGTTTTAGGAGCTGCTAGACAAGGGTTTATTCGACCAATAAGTTTACCATGAGTAGCACCGATCATGTTCGTGAAAAAGAAGGATGGCTCACACAGGATGTGCATTGACTATTAGAAGTAAAATAAGCTAACAGTGAAGAACTGTTACCCACTTCCAAGGATCGAAGACTTATTTGACCAGGTTCAGGGTGCATCTTTGTTTTCCAATATTGATTTGCGATCAGGTTACCATCAAATGAGGGTCAGGGACGAAGATGTGCAGAAGACAGCCGTCAGGACTAATTATGGTCATTACGAATTCGTGGTGATGCCATTCGGGCTCACCAACGCACCAAGATCGTTCATGGATCTCATGAACCGAGTATGCAGACCGATGCTGGATCGGTCGGTGATTGTGTTTATTGATGATATTCTGGTCTACTCCAAGACCAAGGAGCAGCACGGGGATCATTTGCGGGAGGTATTAGAGACCCTGAGGAAAGAGAGGTTGTATGCCAAATTCTCCAAAACGTGAGTTTTGGTTGCGTGAAATGAAGTTCTTGTCAACCAAAAGGGTATATTGGTCGATCAAGTCAAGATCGAGGTCGTGATGTGATGGGAGGTTCCAAGAACCCCATATGATTTTCAGAGCGTTCTAGGTGTCATGGGTTATTATCATAAGATTTATTCAGGATTTCTCTAAGATTGTTGTGCTATTGACCCGCTTGATGAAGAAGAATGTTACTTTTCGGTGGAGCCTGATAAGCAATCAGCTTTTGAGATGTTGAGACAAAGATTATGGATCTCATGAACCAAGTATTGATAACGTATCCCATCAGGAATATGCCAAACATAACGAAACCTTCAGCCTGATAGACGGTTTGGGTAAAGCACGACATATTCCTAGCGCCGCGTCCTCGCCCTCGCGATCCCGAATTCATTTCTTGGTGCCCAAGCGCCAAGATCAGTGTGAAGACAAAATAGTACCAATTTCCTCCCATAGCGACAGGTGTAGCGCTCAGGGCGCCTCTCCTGGTAAACTTGCACCAATAGCAAAGAACCACTCACGGAGCACGATCTACGAATCGAAGGCCATCTATCCCTGCCAAACCTAAAAAGCTAGAAGATACTGTCGGGGATCTGTCCCCCTGACCACAGGTATAAAAAGGTCCCTTCTCCTCCAAGAGAAGGGATCGAGAAAACACCACCATTAAACTCTCACATATCACTTTTTCACCTTCTAATAGACCAACTGACTTGATCGCCAGAGCCTCGTTCAGGGATAGCCTCCCAGACGACGGCTGACGATATTGTTTTCTTTGTTGTGATTCTTAGGACCTTCACTTCCATCCCTCAAAGAGACGGAGTTAAGCCGGAGACATATCACCACAGTTGGTGCCATCCGAACGTGCACCCAGTACGGCAAAACCCACTTCACAACGCCAGGCACCGAAAATGACGGATAAAAGACCGATACGGCAGGAATGTGACGACAAAAGCCCAGTTAGACCAATGCAGTCCCTTGATGGAAGCGGTCTGTCGACACTGGAAGGACAGCCGATCACTCAAACACTGATGACGCCGCCAGTCGGCCCCACGTCGGAGTTCATCGCTAGTCTATGGCGACATTTGCACGGCGCAATGGAACATCCGGTCACAACTACCACCATAGCGCCTCATAGAGCGCCGACCACCCAATCACAACAAACAGAAAATCGACCACAACCATCGATGTGACAGGTGAGGACCAGCGCCTGGTCCCCTGACACCATTCTATCAGCCACACCACTTGCAGGTCATCAGTCTTCCCCGATGGCTGCCATGTCACATATCCCGGTATTTGCACAACAACCACCGCTCAACCTGTATTCATACCACTACCAAGGCGTGTACCCTCAAACACAACCACAAACCCACAATATTCAAGGCACACCAACGCAGGGGATGAAGTCACACACCACGAGGCCAACAGAGTCAACTTCGCAGCCGAATCAGCCGATGCACGCATACTCCACACAGTCATCATATATACCTCAAGCGACCCTATACAACCATGGGTACCATTACGAGTATGGCCAAGGGTACAACAGCACGTACCATGTACAACATGCGATGGTCGGCGGAGCACTTAACTACCCAGACATTAAAAGCCCCGTAACAAGTATTAGCTCGACGTTCTGCCAATAGCTATTACAATATGAAATACCGCATTCCACCATGATCCCAAACATCCTAAAGTAGGATGGCACGACAGATCCTGACGAACACATAGAAACCTACAAGTGGGCGATGACATCTCTCCGGATGGACAAGAGATTTACTTGCACCTACTTCCCGGTCACGCTATCGGGAAATGCTAGCAAATGGTTCAAGGCACTACCACCGGGGAGTATCTCCAACTTTGAACAATTGAGGTATGTTTTCCTCAACAACTTCATGCGGTTGAGGAAAGTCAAAGGTGATGCCAACTCTATCATGGCATGCATACAAAAAGAGGGAGAATCCATTCGAGCACACTATGACCGATTCACCCTCACGACCTTGAGTGTCCCCGGTCACGAGGAATTTCTAGTCACGGGCGCCTTCACCCATTGGCTACTTCCAGGCCCCCTGTCAAGGAAAATGCAAGGAATAGTGCCAAAATCTAGGGACGAGCTCAAATACAGGTTCGAAAAATACCTCAGGCGGAGCGATGGAGAAGAACGCAAACACGCCAAACTAAAAGCTGTAGCAAATGCCTACCTCAAACAAGAATCATCCGGTTCTCACTACCGCCATAGCCACAAAGAGCACAATGATGGAAGCCATGATAAACATAGCAGAAATTCGAGACACCCATCTCGTAGATTCCTACCATTCGTGAAAGACGAGCCCAGAAGCCATAAGATGGAAGTACACGCGGTAAAAAAAACCCTCAGCGGACGAAAAAAGAGAAAAGAAAATATTACGAATACCACAAGAGCAAAACCCACGACACTGGAGAGTGCGCGATCCTCAAAAAAGAAGTATAAGACAAGCAACTGAGTGGAGACTTAAAGGAAATCGCAAAGAATCTACGATTAAAAGTTCGAAGCCGAGAGGAAAGACGGGAGAACTCGGAAGAAGTCGAATAAACAAATAATCAAAAAGGAGGAAATCTTCGTAATTATAAGGCCCGAGAACAGAGCTAGGCATCGGTTGTCGGCCAATGGCGTCGATGAATCACCCGACGATACTCTGAACATAAGTTTCTCCCCGGAAGACCCGCGAGCGCCCGAATGGGACCCCATGGACCTAATCATAATTCCCGCCCTCGTCCAACACCATCAGATCTGGCAAGCCCTGGTCGACGGAGGTAGCAACACCGACGTCCTCTACAAGCACTGTTTCGAACGACTCCCGCCATTCTGGAAGAAGAGCCTAAAACACCCCAACACAAGCCCCACTCATTGGCTTCATAGGACACAAGCAATGGCCGATAGGGACCATAAGCCTCCTGCTGACACTACTCAGCCACGATGGAAAGGAAAGGGTAACAAGAATAATCAAGTTCTCGGTAGTTAAACATAGGTCAGAAAACGATATGATCCTAGGGCGACCTTCCCTCTTTCAGATACAGGCCATCCCATCAACAATACATGGTATAATAAAGTTCAGAACAACCAGCGGCTTAACAACTATAACAACCCTGAACACACGGGCAAAACCACTTCGGGCGATCGTCGCTTGGGCTACCACACACATCCCAAGAAAGCGACGCACAACAATAATTACCACCCATACGGTCAAGCGCAAAAAAACAAATACCCACACCCAAGATAGGAGGAAAGGACGGCCAACCCCAAATGAACAGCCCGAGGGGAGAAGGGTGCGATAGCAACAACGTTACCACTATGAAAACATCGACGATTGTCAGGACGAACACCAAGCGAGGTTGGATATCACTGAGCATACCCACACGTCTTCGCCCAACAAGGGCACAGAGCATGGAAAAGGAGGAAACAAGGGAACACTCGCACGAAGTCACAGAGCTCGATAGGAAACACAACCAAAGAACCGCCAGTGCCGGAGTAGCGAGGGTAGGCAACTGCTCCAAAAAAGAAGACGTGGACAGGAGACTCACTACAATTGTAATTGTTCGCAATTGGCAGAGGCTTCCCCCAGGACGACATCTAGTCAATAACCTCACAAAAAACAGAGCTAGCAATGAAAAAGTCACGCAGAAGGAGGTAAAACTGCCCAAAGGCTATAACCAGGAAACCAAAGCTGGAGAATGAAGGAAATTGAAAATCGTCTTCTGAAAGACAACCATCTTAGAAATAGCCAATCACGGCTCACACACGAACATGAACGTTGGAGAGCTCGTAGGAACGAGCCATCAAAAGGCACAAACCAAAAAAGACCAAGAAGAAGAACTCGTCCCGATGACCTGGAGCCCCAGAGCCCAAGCCAGTAGTCTTAGCCTAGGATAAATCAAGGGAAGGGTCCAAGTGATAAAACTCCTAACGGATAATCACACCCCAACTAGTCAGTCCAAGAGCTAGACCTAGAATAGCAAAAAGTATCGGAGTACCGATACTTATTTAACGATGTAGATGTCTCTAAGACACCAAAAAATATGCAATGAAAAGACAAATTGTAATGAGCAAGTATCAACATGCTTTCGTACAAGTGGCAAATAAAGACAGATTGGTCATTCGTGCCACCCAACACAAAACCAGTGAGAAAAACACAATCATAGGCTTCAAGGGCTCATCACTTCTCCCTAATAAACATGTTAACGAGGTCAGGATAATCGCAGCTCCTGATCATGACAAGTAAGAGGCCTTAAAGGATCATAACCTTTCCCTCTAAATTCATAATACCTGAGCTCTTAGACCTCGAGGTGACGATCTCAGTCTTGCTTAGATGACTAGAGCCAGGGTACAACTCCCCTTGACCTAAAGCTTAGGGCAAAACCCCGAAGGAAAGGATTTTAGCTAGAAAGGACGCCCTAAAGGAACGAACCAGCCAGAGTTCTCACCTAAAGACTAGTTAAAGCCTCAAATCACAAAACAGACTCTTCGGCCCCCCAAAACTTCCCAAGCAAATGATAAAAGCGAGACCCTATTCAGTGTCAGGATCATCTCACAATTAGCGAAGGCCTCCTATGTACAGCTCACCTAGGCGGAGGTAGGAGACAAATTCTGTCTCCATAAAAGATTTTACAGCAGCATGCATCGCTTGAGCATGCTCCACAGTAACGTTCGGTTCCCCGGAAACAAACTTTCTGGTGGCAACCTGCTCCCGAATCGCCTGTTTGCCATTCTCCACACTGGCAGCCACAGACTCCATCTTCATCCACTTAACCACCCAACGAAAAATAAGTGCTCTCGACAACCTTATTCACCACCCAGACAATGCCCTTCTGAAGCAACCACCCCACATCTTCCTCTGTAGCTTTTCTCCCGGCGGTCTCCTCATCCAACCGCTTATTAACACAATCCGCTTGGCTCTCCAACACCTTCTTCTCCTCCACTAAAACGTCGATCCGTTGAGAAAAGTGCTCTACCGACCCATCCAAAGCAGCCACCTTGTCCTCCAAAGATGCTTTCTCCCCTTCTAAAAGATCATAGCGCTCCTCGAACGACCGCTTCTCCCCCTCTAACTCCAGCAACCTCGCTTTCAGCTCACCCCGCTCATCCTTAATAAAAGCAAGCTCACCGGAACTAGAAATCGCTCTGACGATGGCGAGAGGCAGTCGCCACCATGTACGAACCGACATGTACAGCTGCATATAAAAGGTTGTTCGAAAGATGTGAGTTAGAGAGAAGCTCCAAAGCCTCGATGGTAGTAGGAAGAAAAGCATGGGAACCTCAATCATATGCTGCCGCGTGATGGGAAAGAAGAGATTCCCGGGTTATCCCCCATCCTGGCACATATATGGCAGGCGCTGCCAGAGGAGCAGAAGCAAAATTCTCGGCAGTACCCTCCCTAGTCAAAAGCAGGACCGGTGAGTTCGGAACACCTTCGCGAACAACGTCTGAGTCAACACCAAAAACGTTCCTACCTAAGGCAGTAGTCTCCACTAACTCCTCTTTAGGTCCACGGGGCAGTTTTGTCGCCCCTTGTCTCATCCCCTCCAACTGTTTCATAGTGTCATCATCAGGGATGTCAAACACTATAGTATCCTCCCCCAAAAGGAAGTCAACGTTCCGCCTCTTGAGAAGTAATCAACACCTGACCAACGAGAGAAGCAGACCTGGGCGGAGAAGCAACAAGAGGGTCGGCAAGTGCCAAGGCACGGTCGGGACTGACCGACGCAGGGAGCGTCTCAAACAAGGGCACTTCCTAGTACTGACATGTGTCCTGAAAGTGGCCCCTCAGCACCATCTCAAAGGGAAAGATCCTCTCGTGACATGCAAACGAGAAACAAGCCAACATAGTTCGCAAACAAAACAAGAAAAAAGCAATCTAAATGGGGGGAGAGGTACTTACCGTCCTTCTTAACATAGAACTGAGGCATCATCCCCCGAGGCCCAAGCAGCGCTCATCCTAACTGCAGCCAACATATGATCCTCCTAATCCTCACTAATGATGCAAAATGGTCTTCAATTCTTTCGCCATATGGGCGCTGGCACCCCACACTTCTAGTGCTCGATCAGAAAAAGTAGTCAAACGAGGATAGCCAAAATCGACAAGGTTGCGATTTACCCAGAGCCACCGGTTTTGCCAGTTCTTCATTGGAGCTTTTTGGTTAATCATAAAGGCATGAACACCCTATCTTTGGAAAAAATTCCAAGCACCAGACTGAGTAGAAGAATTAAAGAAAGCTTTGAATGCCCAAACCTATGGCAGAACTCCAAGGGTCCGACAGACGAGTTCAAAACCAACAATCTTATTTGTTTGGAGTCATGTCATCCACGTGGAAGCCATATTAACGCATTACCTCGTCGGAATAGTTCGTTGTCGGCAGCCTCAGACTAGCCTCAAAGATCGGAATGGCGACTCCAACTTTCCCCTCCAGCGGACGAGAAATTATAGCCCCCTTTCGAGTGTATTCCACACCATGTTCAGGGAGGAAACCAAACCGCTCTTGAAGACCGGCGAACTCACTCGGAGAAGAAACAATTCCGATATTTGGGCCAACCATTGTTCGTCGAAAAACAGAGAGAAAGAGGAAAAGAAGTAGCAAAAGTGAGAAGAAGCAAAAAATAAAAGGGGAACTGGCACAAATGAGGGAATATTTAAATGAAGGTATGAAGTTCAAGCAATTATGATGATGAAAACCGCCTGTGTAGACACCTCCTTCACGTCATAAGTTGTCAAAGAGCCACCCCCACCAAATGCGTTTCCAGATCTAAGCTAGAACAACTCGGCTAACCTAAGAAAATGCTGACATCTACTAGCTTAGGGGACATGATAACGTATCCCATTAGGAATACGTCAAACATAACGGAACCGTCAGCCTGATAGATGGTTTGGGCAAAGCACGACATATGCCTAACGACGCGTCCTCGCCCTCGCCCTCGCGATCCTGTATTCGTTCCTTGGCGCCCAAGTGCCAAGATCAGCGTCAAGACAAAATAGTACCAATTGCCTCCCAGAACGCCAGGTGTAGCGTTCATGGCGCCGCTCCTGGTAAACCTGCACCAATAGCAAACAACCACTCACGGAGCACGATCTACCAATCGAATGCCATCTATCCCTGCCAAACCTGAAAAGGTAGAAGATACTGTCGGAATCTGTCCCATTGACCACAGGTATAAAATGTCCCTTCTCCTCCAAGGGAAGGGATCGATAAAACACTACCCTTAAACTCTGACCTATCACTTTTTCACCTTCTAATAGAACAACTGACTTGATCGTCGGAGCCTCGTTCCGGGACAGCCTCCCGGATGACGACTGACGATCTTGTTTTATTTGTTGTGATTCTCAGGATCTTCACTCCCATCCCTCAAAGAGACGGAGTTAAGCCAGAGACATATCACAACAAGTATGCAGGCCAATGCTGTATCGGTCAGTGATCGTATTTATTGATGATATTCTGGTCTACTCCAAGACCAAGGAACAGCACAAGGATCATTTGCGGGAGCTACTGGAGACCCTGAGGAGAGAGAGAGAGACTGTATGCCAAATTTTCAAAATGCCAGTTTTAGGCACGAGGTGCAGTTCTTGGGGTACATCGTCAACCAGAAGGGTACACTGGTCGATCCAGCCAAGATCGAGGCCGTGATGCGATGTGAGGTTCTGAGAACCCCATCATAGATTCAGAGCTTTCTAAGTCTCACGGGTTATTATCAGAGGTTTAATTAGAATTTCTCGAAGATTTCTGAGACAGACATTATGCGAGGCCCCGATTATCACGCTCCTTGAGGGCATGGATGATTTTGTGGTTTATTATGATGTGTCTATCTCGGGTTTTGGAGATGTCCTCATGCCGAGAGTACATGTGATTACATACGCTTCGAGGTAGCTAGAGCCTCATGAGGCGAATTCCCTTACACGCTATTTGGAGTTGGGGCTATGGTTTTTGCCCTCAATATTTGGAGGCATTATCTGTATGGGGTTAGATGTAATACCTACACTAACCACAAGAGCTTGAGGTACTTGATGGATCATCCAAATTTGAATATGAAGCAGCGTAGATGGTTGGATGGGTAATGTATTATGATTTCAAGATCATGAACCACTTTGGGAACGCCAACGTTGTGGCTGATGCCCTGATCTATGAGGCAGCGAGTTCACCTATCGGGGATATATGTCTGATGATGGTTATTATTTCTCCTCTGTTGGATATGAGCAAGAAGGCTCAGGTAGAAGGATTGAAAAAGAAAAATTGGAAGGGAAAGCGGATCATGGGGCAGATTCCTTTATTCGTCAGAGATGGTCGGGGTTTATTGACTCATTGTGGTAGAGTTTGGGTTCGACTACAGGAGGGTGAGGTAGACAATGTTAAAAGAGGCTCAAAAGTCAAAGTTTTTGGATCCACCCAAGGGCCACAAAGATGTATAGGGATTTGAAGTTAAGCTTTTTGGTGGCCTTGTATGAAACGGAAGATATCTTGGTTTGTAGAGCGGTGTCTGACATACCGGAAGGTCAAGGCCGAACATCAGATACCCCACAATAAGATACAGTCGCTACCTATTCCCATGTGGAAATGGGAAGAGATGACCATGGATTTTATCACAAAGTTGCCAAGGACGACACGTGGAGTTGATTTCGTCTGGGTCCTTGTTGGTAGATTTACCAAGAGTTCTCACTTCATACCAATTGTCTAGTGTAGATCTACTGATAAGATGACTGACATTTACATTCGGGAGGTGGTGGTTCGGTACGGGGTGCCAGTTTCAGTGGTTTCAGACCGAGATGTTCGTTTCACCTCCAGCTTTTGGTGGAAGTTTAATGAGGAGTTGGCTACTCAGCTGCATTTCAGCACAACATACCACCCTTAGACCGATGGTCAGCGTGAGTGGACGATTCAAACGCTCGAAGATACGCTCCAGCTGTGCCTGTTAGATTTTGGCGGGAGTTGAGATACTTACCTTCCATTGGTCGAGCTCTCCAACAACAAAAGCTATCATGCAAGTATTGATCGACCACCTTTCAAGATGTTGTATGGAATAAGGTGTAGGACCTTGATTTGTTAGGGCGAGGTTGGACATCAGGTAATGGGGAGTACTAAAGTAGTGCTCAAAACCACCAGATTGATACAAAAAGTGTGTGACAGGTTGCGAGTCGCGCAAATCCGACAAAAGAGTTATGCAGACCTTCGTCGTTCGGACCTCGAGTTTCAAGTGAGGGACTTTGTGCTTTTAAAGGTGTCACCTTGGAAAGGTGTCATCCGGTTTCGGAAGCAGGGCAAGCTGGGCCCCCGGTTTATTGGTCCCTTCAGGATTATCGCCCGAGTAGGCAAGGTTTCATACTGGCTGGAATTGCCTAATGAGCTCAGCCAGATCCACAACATTTTCCATGTCTCTCAGTTGTGGAAGTCTTTAGCCGATGTTTATGAAGTGATTCCTTTGGATGACATTCAGGTCGATGTGCGCCAGAACTATATGGAGAGCCTGAGGTTAAGATGAGGGAGCACTACCCAGACTTGTTTGTAGCAGCGGACTTCGAGGACGAAGTCTGATTCAAGTGGGGGAGAGTTGTAACACCTATGTTCCAAGTACTTTTCAATTTTGGCTTTAAGTATATAAATATTGCAAATTCAATTCTTACGTGTGTCGTACCTTGTGGGTACGCTGAGCGTAGCTCAGTAAAAGGTGTCGCAGGTTTTGTGGCGTATATTGGGCGTACGTATGAGTACGCTCGGAGTACTCACGCTGATCCTAAACCCTAATTTTGAACCTTAAGCTCTCCCTGACCTTCAACCTCCATCTTCTAAATGAACCCTTGCAAACCCAAACTCTCCTTGGTAAGATTTTGAGCTTTTTGAGTGTTGTGTGTCCATTCTTGAAGGAAAGAGATCTTTGGAGTGCACTTCGAAGCTTCAAACATTTGTAGATATGGGATTTGTACCTCCCTAGAAACCTTTAGAAGGTATATATTTATGGACTAGATGCATGTTTCTTTAGATCTTGTTAGTTATTAAAGTATGTTCATTTTGGTCTCGTAGTCTTGGATCTTGGGAGTTTGAGTAAATCCAGACCTAATGAGGAGTGTTTCTCTTCATTTCAGAGCCTATTGATTTAATAAAAATGGGATCTTGGTCTTTCCATTCACCCATCCTAGATCTATTAAGCTTTTGGGTCATGAAGAAGACTTAGGGTTAGATTTTTGTCTCCTTGTAGCCATGCAAAAGCATAAATGTTGCAACTTTATGATTTTAGACGTTCATTAGGGTAAGATCTAAAGTTTGGACGTTGAGTATTTATGCATTAAGAACTTTGGTTAAGAGTTTTGACTTCAGGTGGTTACGTCGGGTGTAACCACTGAGGACGCTGGGCGTAGTAGGCTGTTTCCCCGTAACTTTTCCAATATCAAGCAGTACGTTGGGCGTAATGAGGAGTACACATGGCGTACTCCCAGAAACCCATTTGGGCTATTTTTGGGCCTTGGGTCATTAGGGGTTTTGGGCCTTGTATAGTTGGGTTAGGTATGAGAAGGGCAAAATGGCCTTTTTCCCTTACTAAGATAAAACATGATTTGAACTATTGGTTTGTGGTTGAGTTTGCGCATTACACAATATTCATTCATTATTGATTATCATAGTCTCGCATTTAATACCCATAGAACATCTAATTCAATCACTACTGTTTTTACTATTGATTTTAATTTCATTCACGTCTGTATCATTGATCAGTGTAAATCATTTCAATCGAAGATAACAATTTTATTTTGTTTTAACAGAAAATAACAATTATTTTTCGTTTCACATAATGATTAAAGCCAAAAAAAATTTATGAACTCAGACACACTTACCTTCACCTTCATCACCAATATCGATCAGTGAATTGAAGTAACCTTCATCACCATAAAAATCCACACCACCTGTGAACTTCATTGCAGACGATTTCAATCAACGTATCGTAATTTTTTTCACACGACTACAACAATATCGTTGTACTATTTTCCAAATAACGATTACACGCCTAATGTCGGAGATATGGTCTGCAGAATTAACCAATATGGTTTCATTTACGTTTATCCAATAAACGTTCTTCATCGTTCCGGCTTCAATCATGGAAAACGTCTGTTACGTGTTTATTTAATACGCTTAGGTTATGTTCATGTTGCCTAATTAATATTTACGTAACTATGTACTTTCCTATTTAGACCCTTAGCAAACGATTGGTCCACATTTGTTCTCGCGTTTCTCAACATTTTAGTGTTCTCAATATAATCTATCCCTATATATTATATATATTATATATATATATATATATATATATAATATATATATATAGAGAGAGAGAGAGAGAGAGTATGTTGATTTGAGAACACACAAATGTTGACAAAACAAAATTATATCTAGAGTCTCTAACCTATTCAACTCACTGTCATATCAAATCCACATCAACTTTCTCGTTAGTCTTTATTTCATCTTTCCTAACCCACAACATATGAAAATACCATCTTTCCGTACCCACTCAATTCACTTTCCACATCATTACTTTTAATTGTTAAAAACATACAAAATTAATTCATTATATATATAATAGATATATATATATATATATATATATATATATATATATATATATATATATATACACACAATTTTTTGCAAATTAGAAAAAAAAACATTATATATATATATATATATATATATATATATATATATAATAACACATATTTCTTATTTTTTTTACATTTTATTAATTAATTTGTATGTTTTATAATCAATGATGCGGAAAGGGGTTGAGTGGGTTGGAAAATACGTTATTTTCGTGTGTCGTTGGTTGGAAAAGATGGAAGAAAAATAAGAGAGAAAAACTATTGTGTAGCTGATGTGTCAGTAGGTTGAGTGAAATTGATACGATGGCTTAAATTTTTATAATAATAATAATAATACATAATCCTTTTTTAGCTTGTAATTTGTTGTGATGACTTCCCTTTTCTAGTTTTTTTTGCTAGTTTTCTAATAAAATCTCTGCCTTTAAAAAAAAAATAATAACATTAATATGGACAACAAAGTATTTTTGCAATATAATTAAAATGAACAAATCATGGTTATATTTATTTATAATCCTGGAATATAATCATATTTTTCATAAAGTCCATGTTCTAAAAAGATTGTTGAAAAAAACACTTTTTGCGTGATGATGAAACGAACTAAAATAAAGATTTCAATTAGTGGTATTTGTTGGCATTTTTATCCAATCCATGGTATTCGTACCGAAGAAATACGATTTGTGAATAAATATATTAATAAACAACTGGTTGTAAAACTCATATGAGTTAATTTAAAAAAAAAATATAAATGTCAAAATATTTAAGAACTTTGAATTTATAAGAAAATAAGAAAAATAATGAATTATTATAATATAAATGTTTTTTGTCTATTAAATTTAAAAAAATAATTTAAATAAATAAAGAAATAATAAACTTGAAATTAATGAAAAAATTCAGAATAATAATTAAATCAATAATGATAAATTTAAATAATAATAAAATAGAAATATAAAATTTCATTTTGAGCATTTATTAAATAATTTTTCATGTTATTCTTTAATTATCATTGTTGCAATTATGAATTTATGTGAGTTTCATAAATAGAACCACTTTAAAATGACATGTGGAAAAAAAATTAATTCAAAATAACCATAAAATGACATTTGACAAATTGATTGAGAATGTGAGAAGTAGAAATTTTTTTTTTATTAGAGAGGATAAGAATAACTAGATAGTGGTTTAAAGAAACAATCCATCTTTATGGTCGTTATAGTGTAGATGGTGTTGAAGGGGATAGCCCTCAAGGTGGTGAACATCAATGCGATGGTAGGTTCCTTATGCATTATAAAATAGGCGGTGTTAAGATGTTAAGTGAAAGGCCAATTACAATATATGTAACTCATTTTATGTGTTTTTGGGAAAAGTAATCGATACAAAATTTAGGATAAAACTTCAAAAATGGCCCTTGTGGTTTTCGAAAATCTGAAGTTCAGTCTCTAATCTTTAAAAACCTCACAGATGGTCCCTGTGGTTTCAATACTTTTAACAAATGGTCAGTTTCGCTAACTCTGTTAGCATTTAGCCGTTAAGTGAATGGTATTTATGTCTTTTCACTGCCACAGGGACCATTTATGAAGATTTGCTTTATTTAAAAAAAAGGAAAAAAATATAATTATTTAATATTAAAGGGTCTCTCTCTCTCTCTCTCTCTCTCTCTCTCTCCCTTCCGTTTTCTTCTTCGTCTAGCACCACACCAACACCCCCAATACTTGCTATTGTTGTCCCCATTTCTTCTTCATTAGACTGGCAAGACTCACCCACCGGAGGTGGGTGGTCCTCCGTTCTCCAGAAAACGCGAAGATGAGAGGGAGGAGGTTGTTGCCTCCATCCCAACCTCCAACAGATCCCTTCCCGTCGAAGCTCAACCCCCAAACTCCCCACTACTCACTGATATAACCTACCAGTGACCAAAACAGTCCCGTCGGGGACTTCTCTAGTCGAAGGTGACTGCCGGCGAGCCAAAGCACTACCTCCGCCATCTCAACCTCTCTTTCCCCCTCCTGTTCTGATAATCAATCACCACCTCTGTTGTTGTTGTTGTTGTGACCACTGAACACCACCAAACACTACCTTCCAATCGTGACCCACCATCACCAAACTCCCCATCACCGCCACTGCTGTGAAGTTCGATCACCACCAAGTTCTCCCCTCCTCCACTTGAACAAGTCTTGATTTGAACAAGAGCAAGAACAATTCCTTCAGAACCAACTTTCTCATATGGGTGTTGTTATTTTTCAACGATCTTTGTGGGTTTTTTCTAGGTTATTACTGAATCCAAATGGGTTACCGGAAAATTTGTTGAATTGTTTATGGGCGCCAATAATAGAGGTCGGTGAAACATTTTTAGGGAATAATCCACCATTGAAGAACCTTGGAGAACTAAGAAAATATTAAATGGATTGGGTCTAGTTATGGTGTGTAGGGGTGAAAGAGACGAAGCTTGGTGATTGTTTTGTTATAGTTCTGGATCTGTTCCTCAGCATCACTATTATAATTTCATGTATAAACGTTTACTTGTTCTTTATTCATGTATATGCTTGACTAAATTAATAAAATCAAGGTTTACAAAAAAGAGGGTTTGATTTTCAGTTGTGCATATTTTGCTTGATAATTTTTGTGAATCCGTTGTTGGTGGTTTTTGGTTAGCTGTTTTCCTTCATTAATGGCAGTGGCAATAAGGGATTGAGGATGAAGATGGGCAACAACTTTATGGAAGGGGTACTATGAGAGAGAGAGAGAGATAGATAGATAGAGAGAGAGAGATGGTGAGATCCTTTAATGTTAAATAATTATATTTTTTTTCTTTATTTCTTTAAAATAAGGCAAATCTTCATAAATGGTCCCTGTGGCAGTGAAAAGACATAAATACCCTTCACTTAACGGCTAAAAAGCTAACGAAGTTAGCGAAAAGGACCACTTGTTAGAAGTTTTGAAACCACAAGGACCATCTGTGAGGTTTTTAAAGATTATGGACTAAACTTCAGATTTTCAGAAACCACAGGGACCATTTTTGAAGTTTTGTCCAAAATCTAGGGGAGGACCTGGTTAGTTGCAAGCGGTTGCCGGATATACCCCTAAAATATTCCTTAGTAAATAAAATTATGCAACCCCTAAGCCATAAGTCCAAACTTTAAAATCAAAAAGATTTTTTGAAGCTTAAAAAGCTTATTATTTATTAACTTATAGCTTATTGACTTATAAACTAACAACTTAGAAGGAGTTAACTTATACAAAAATGACTTATTAGGGATTTGTCACCGCTATAAGCTAATAAGTTGTTTTGCCACACACTCCTAAACAAAGTTAGCCCATTTCTAATCTATTGGACATACGAATCCATAATGGATTAATGATTAATTAGACATAGAGTGAAGACATAAGACGGAACTTAAGGTGCCATTTCTTTTTTTCGATGTACACTCCATACTTTTAGTACAACGTAAAATATCTAGACACGTGCTAAGCGTCTTGTAGCTGCACACTGGACACGCGAAGAACGTACATAATACTCTTCATATGTGTGTGTGTGTGTGTTTTATATATATATATATATATATATATATATAATATATATATATATATATATATATAGAGAGAGAGAGAGAGAGAAGAGAGAGAGAGAGAAACTAAATACCCATTTAAAATGTTGACATGTGTCATATTTAGATAAGATTAATAATATTTTAATACACTTGTCATCATTTGAAATAGGTAGGAATATATGTAGGAAGGAAAGTAGAAATATATTTAATTTCTCATATATATATATATATATATATATATATATTATATATATATATATATATATATATATATATATATATATATAGGTGTAAAAACCGTGTAATACACGAGTTTTAAAAAAAATATATTTTGTTAAGCATTACATGTTTAATAATTTACAAAACTGAATTTGGAAAGAATATCATTATTAGCTATGAATGAACCGATTTTTGCAAATTTTTGTAAATTATTGTGAATTCAAAAGGTATTGGCCGAAAATTATGTTTTCCAATTAGGAATGTTGATTTGAATTTAATACATTAATTGACAAATTACGTGAGAATTTATGAAGACATTTAAGTTTCCTTATTTTCTTTGTTATATTTTTATATTAGATTTTTTTATAATTTAATAACAAAGCCAAAAAAACCACAATTTGCCTAGTAGATTTAAATGAAATTGAAAAAATTAGGAAAATATCATATGATATATTGAATTAGTTGATGACATATGGCAAAAAAAACTTTCATTTATTAGGTAGGATATATATATATATATATATATATATATATATATATATATATATATAGAGAGAGAGAGAGAGAGAGAGAGTTAAGTTTAAATGTGGATTGACATCTATTGTGTGGACGTGTGGACAATGCTATTCTGTGAGATTGACAAACAAAATATGTTGTTTGATAATGTGAATATGTTCAATCTTACATAACTATTATCATTATAATGCATTCTCACCAATTAAATCATGTATAAGATTATTATAGACTTTTTTTTTTTCATTCCGCCAGAATGTTGTCAGGATGTTTATTGAGTCGTATTCTATAAGAATAAAAATAAGGGAAAAACGATATGTGAAAACAAAATTGAATAAGAATTAGTGAGAATGCATGGAAATGACAATAATTGTGTGAGGTTGCACGTATTTACATTATTAAACTACTTATTATTTTAGTAATTCTCATAAAATAACATTGTCCACACACAATAGTTGTCCGTCAAATATATATATATATATATATATATATATATATATATATATATATATATATATATATATATATATATATATATATCTAAAGTAGTGGACGTGGCTAGTTTAATGTTCGCATAAATTGATGTTTGATCAAACTAAAGTTGTCAAACCTTTAAGTGGATATAGATTATGTATTTTGATATTTAAAGAAGAAAAAATTAAATAATCAACGACTTTTCCTCCTTTTCATATTTCTATTTATGTTAAGACCGATGTGTGCATATGCCTACCACACCTTACGGTGGCAACGTGTTGCCGTTGTATTGCGGTGAACACAACACCGTTTGGGGTGGATAGGTGCAATAAGCCTACCACACATCAAAGCTTTACCGTACAAGACTAGCCTCTTCCCTTTCTTTGCTTTTTTTTAACGGTCATTTTTAAAAAAAAATTGTATATGTTATTTGTTTTTAATTTACCTATTATAAATAAAGATACACACTCTACGTTTTAAACCACAAAAAACACCACTTTTTTATATATTTTTGATTAAAATTAATGTCTTCTTCATCGTCCACTTCGTTGGATATGTTAGCGTTGCGGGAAACGAAGTTTATTGGAGACATCATGTGAACAACACTTGCTTATTTCCAAGATAATGAAGGCGAAAGTTCGCGCCAAAAATTCAGACGTGAAATTGGGCACAACCAACTTGTGGATGACTACTTTGCTGATGATGTTGTGTACGCGGAAAAATTCAGACGTCGGTTCCAGACGAAGAATGTATTGTTTTTATAAACTTTTAATGTTATAAAATCGATTTCCATATTTTTAGCAGATGATTAATGGAAGAGGTCAGAAAGGTTTCTCCATAATTCAAAAATGTACAACTGCAACTCATCAATTAGCATTTGGCATGGGAATCGATTCATTAGATGATTATTTGAGGATATCAGAGAGAACGACGTGAGAGTGTGTATACAAGTTTACTAAAGCTGTGATTATCCTCTATCGTGGTTGCTATTTACGGAAGCCTACAATTAGCAAATCCACAAACTATATATGACACATGAAAACAAGCATGACTTCCCTTGAATAATTGGTAGTATTGATTGTATGCATTGGGGGTGGTCAATGTGCCCTAATACATTCGATCAATTTGTACGAAGTGATAAAAACAACCAACAATAATTTTAGAAGCAGTGGCGTCGTATGATCTTTGGATATGACATGCATTTGTGAAATCGTATGATGAGCCGTTGCAAGCAAATGGGACATCATACAAGCGTGGGTATTACCTTACTGATGGGATATATCCCGAGTTAGCTAAATTTGTAAAATCATTCTTATGTCCAAATTATGAGACACGAATAAAGTTTAAGTCGGCCCAAGAATCTGCTAGAAAGGATATCGAGCGAGCCTTTGGTGTTCTAAAGAGACGTTGACAGATAATCTCAATACCGACATTATCATTTGAGCGCAAACAAATAAGTGGCTTGATGTATGCATGCATCTTATTGCATAATATGATTATAGAAGATGAGGGAAGGGCGATGTTGTATTTGTCGACATTCGAACAATGGAGAATTTTCCAGAATGTCTGATTCGTAACGCATCTTCATTGTCTGAATGAATACCGTTGTCGATGATTTTGATGAAGGCTTCAATGAGACAGAAGACGGATCAAACATGATTGTAGATGATTCGGGCGAGATTATGATGATGAGTTCAGCGAAGATGATTATGATGATTAGGCGTTGCGTACTATTCTAGTATGTCCTGATGCAACTTAGTCCTCCGGTTCTCCTATGGGATGGCTCTGATTGCTCCGGGAAGACCTGTGAAGTCACAACAAGGGGAAACTGTTAGCCGTTCTCCGGGAGGAGGTCCCGGGAAAATGCTCCGACGGTCAAGTCAACGACTAAACTAAGAGTGTAGGGTTTGAAATAAGAGGGAACGACTTACTCTTCAAGGTGGCGGAGGAGGCCTTTTATACTGAGACCTCCTTCCAGCCCGTACCTGAGACAAGGGCGTCAGACCTGACATGATCCGATGACCTGATTGGCCAATCATGATCCTCATTGTGCTAGAGCTAGTGATTGGTTTAGGTGGTAATGCTCTGAGCATAATCCTTTTCGCTTGGAGTCGTTAGGTTTGTCGCAGGGTAGAAGGCGCCCGTTGTAGGGCTAGAACTTCTGCGCCGACGTCCGGCTCTAAAGGGACGCCTACGGGCGTGAGACTTCGTCAGGGCGGCTACGTTGGGAGTAGCTTGGTCTAGTCCCCCAGTCCAATAGCTACAGTGTTTGCCAGGCTAGATTTGATGTCCTGGACCTAACTGCATGTACACGCGTCAAGATGGGGTTCGAACGACGCTTCAATTTTTTTGGCGATGAGGCCGCCCATTATGCCAGTCAGTTACATCACCTGTCAAAGATTTTGAATATCCCGTCTTTCCTTATCCCTTAAAAACGAAGATCTTTTGCTTATTCTGCTTACGCCTTTTATCTTGCTCCTTATTTCTCTCATCTTTGACCTTCCTCTTCTGCTTTCTCTTTCCTTCTTTCATGGCAAACCAACTTGACACTGCTACATCTCTTACAGAGTTCGAACTTTTACAGGATACTTAT